GGGGGGGATAGAATACAAGCTTAAATTCCCAACCAGCCTTGCCAACATGCATAAAAAAATGAAAGGAGGAGGGGCTGGGGATTTAGCTCAGTGGTACAGCACCTGCCTGGCAAGTGCAAGGTCCTGAGTTTGATTCCTGATACCGGAAGAAAAACAAAAAAATGAAATGAGGAAGTGGTCTCCATATCAGGACTCTTTCTCCAAATAGCTTCCAACATACCGGATCATTCCCCTAATAAATTCCAGTCCCCCTAGCGGAGAAGATACATACCTGAATGAGATGCCTTCATCAGCCTTTAAGACCCCATAGTCCTGAGCAATGGTGCGCTTGGGATCTGACACCAAGGGAATGTTCATAGTCCCCAATCCTCCTTGTTTCTTGGGTGTGTTGATCCTACAGCAACAGGCACATACCAATCACATTCATTCAAACTCTGTTTCTCACAAGAATATCAACTACCTATTCCTTCCCCTCTCCCATAGTGCTTTCTAACATTCCCCCAAAACTTCAAACTTTTCTAGCAGTAAAGTGAATGGCTGAGAACAGTTAAGGCTGGTTACCAGTGAACACTCGGCTGCAATTCAAGCTGCCTCTCCTCCACTGCCAGGTAATAAGAGAGCACTAAGAGGAAGTCAGCCTCTGCACTCCCCTTCCATGAAGAACCAGAAGCCAATAATCGAGAAAGTCTACTGTCAAAGATTCCCAGTTGGGGTGTAGTTGCCAAAATTAACCAAAAGATTTACCATGCCAGATGACAGAAGTGAGAATCCACAGAAGCACCAATAACTTGGCAGTTAAGTTTCTTAAATTCTTCTGCCCTGTCACTGAAAGCAATTATCTCCGTGGGGCACACAAAGGTGAAGTCAAGAGGGTAAAAGAAGAACACAACGTATTTTCCTGGGGGGAAAAAAGGAGCTAGAGGTTAGTCATGAAACAGAAAATTTGTCCTTGCTTTACAGAAAACAAGTCAGACTTTTTCCTATGGACAAAGAGGCCTTTTATTAAGTTGATGACAGGCACAGTAACGGCTTGATGCTAAGATGCTCACTACATATCTCCTAGCAGTTTTTATAAGCTGTTCCAGTAAAAGAGCAATAAAAATTTCTAGTTCCACAATTCTCCTGCATCCATGTTCTTGGCCATGAAGTACAGAATAAACACTGTTCAATCTAATTTTGATTTCTCCCAAGTGGCTATTAGCATAACAAGGTTCTCTAATGAAGAAAAGCAAAATCAAGAATAGTTATTTACTAGACGGGCCAGGGCCAGGGAGATGCTCAGTGGCATAAGTGCCTGCCTGGCACATGCAAGGTCCTGAGTTCGATTCCCAATACCAAAAACAAAAAAGATGGTCTAATGCCAATGTTTATAAACAGTGCTCAGAAAAAGATGAATTGGAATAACTGGGTCCTCCCTGACTACAAGGTGACAGAGACCAACCAAAGAAGTCAGAGCCTTTGTACTTGTTCCATGATGAACCACAGTAACAGGATGGTAAGGTTTAAATGATCTCATGAATCACAACAAATGTGTTCCTAACAAGCCTGACAAGACGGCAAGAAAAGAAAAATTTTATAAACAAAAATTCCAAGAGTACTAACAGGACTTCTAGGTGCAATTTTACTTTAGTCACTCAGAATACCACTGAAATACATCTTCAAACTGGTCATGCAACCTCTCACCACACCTAATGGGGTGAGCTACTGGAACAGTTCCAAATATTCACTTATTTCGTAGCAGCAATGCATGAAACTCAAAACAACCAGCCCTCAAATCAGCTAGGAAAGTCTCCAGGGCTTTGCCTAACTAACAAGCTCTTTGAAGCCCCAACAGGTCAAACCCTAGAGGGCAGAGAGCAGCTCCTCCTAGACCATGGCCCTATACCTGAGAGCCAAGTCACTTCCCTATGGTGTACTTACCTTGTTTACTAGGAAGTTTCCTCCACAAAGCCCCCACTTACTGCACTTATCCAACAATGAAGTGTGATATAACTGAATGCTTCCCCAAAGCACAGTAAGGCACAGTGACACGAACATTCAGATTTGCACTCTATGTAATCTACATCCTCAACTGTCCCAGCAAAAACAAACTAAGACAAGGAAGGAAGAGCCTTAGCGCTGGAGATATATCTCAGCAGAACAGCACCTTGCTTGGAAGGAAGAGCCTTGATAGAACTTAGCAAGTGTCTATGAAACTATGACAACAGGAAAAGGAGCTGTTTCAACAGGTACAATGACTCTTCTCTGGGGCAAAACAGTCAAGGAGGGGGTCACGGATATAGCTCAGCAGTACAGCGCCTGGCTGGCAAGCTTCAGATCCTGAGTTTGATTCCAGGTAGAAAAAAAATTAGATTAGCTAGGAGTGGCGGCCTGTAATCCCAGCACTGGGCGGCTGAGTGAGGCAAGAGGATTGCCGCAAGTTTGAGGCCAGCCTGGCTATATAGTCGGCTCAGCTGCAGCCTGGACTATACTGCAAGACCCTGTCTCAAAAAGCCGAAACAAAACAAAAAAAAGACCCTGGGTTCAATCTTCACTATCAGGAAACAAAAGCAAACAAATTAAAAAAAAAAGACTCAGGACGCAGTCAAGAGAATGTGCCTAGGCCCTTTGGGTAAGAGCTGTGCTGCGTTCATTTCAGAAATCTAACAAGCAAAGTCACAGCTCCAAATACTTGAGCTTTAGGCTCTAAATGTAGAAGTCCTCTTGTACCAAGAGATGAGAATTTCTTCTATACTATAACTATGGACAAGTGTACCGAAAAGGTAATTGGAAGTGGGCGTGGTGGGGCACACCTGTGAGGCAGAATTGCTTGAGTTTGAGACCAGCCTGGGCTACAAAGTGAGCACAAGGCCGCTGTGAACTGCATAGGGAGCCTCTGTCTCAAGAAAGAACCCCCCCCACAACCACCGCCAAAAAAAAGATAACTGAAGTAGTATGTCCACACACAAGGAAACATCCTTGCTCTAGAATCAATTTTTTTTTTTTTTTGGTCTTTTTTGAGACAGGGTCTCACTATGCAGTTCAGGCTGGCCTTGAGCGCACTTTATAGCCCAGGCTGGTCTCGAACTTGCAATGATACTCCTGCCTCAGCCTCCCGAGTGCTGGGATTACAGGTGTGCGCCACGCCTGGCTCTAGAATCAATTTGGACCATCGAGTTACATCTATCCTTGTGATCACTGTCAATAATTACCACTTAATTAGCACTTAAGGCAACAGTCACCTGCTCTAAAGACTTTGTCCTAGAAGACACAGACCATTTGAGAGTAAAATGTTAACAGACAAATCTAATAAACTGTACCTAGATTATAAAACAATTTCTCTTTAATAAGCCTATGTAATTACTCTTACCTTTGTAGTCAGACAGGGAAATATCTTTGAACTGACCATCTGGCATAACAGCTGTGGCTTTAAAGTTGGGGGCAGGGTGCCCGATTTTGGCATTTCCTGAGGACATCTTGCTATCAGCTAAAAAACAGAAATTAATTAGAAACTAATTTTCCTAGAGAACCAAAAGCCTTCACCAACTTAGAAACTTAGTGACAGGTGAATCAAGTACCAGGTGTGATGGTGTATGCCAATAATTCCAGCACTCAAGAGGCCTAGGCAGAAGGATTACCTTGGAGCACATGGGCTACACGGTGAGTTTCTTTAAAACCAGTCTAAACTACAGAGATACTCTGTCTCAACCAACAAACAAAAAAAGACAGAATGGGCCAGGGATGTAGCTCCACAGTCAAGGCCCTGAGTTTGGAGTCTTGCTACTACAACAAAAACAGAAACAAAAAAACAACAACCCTGGGAAGTTAATACCTAAATTTCATACTTCTACCGGACGTGGTAGCGCATGCCTGCAATCTCAGCCTCTGGGGAGGCTGAGGCAGGAGGATCACTGTGAGTTCAAGACCAGCCTGGGCTCCAAAGTGAGCTCAAGGCCAACCTGAACTGCATAGCGAGACCCTGTCTCAAAAAGACCAGAAGAAAAGAAAAAAAAAAAATTTGTAAAAGACAGGTTTGGCAGTCAAGGGTCACAATCTTAAACATTCCAACTTTTGGAGGAAAACAAATCTCTGAATCTCAGCTTGTTTTCATTTAAAGCAACCTAGTAACTGCTTCATAAACCCAAATCACCTACCACCCTTTTTTTGCTAAGTATTTTGAGACAGGGTCTCACTGTGTAACCCAGGCTACCTCCAAATCCTGCCAATCCTCCCCGAATACTGGGATTACAGAGTGCACCACCACACTATCTTCTGCACAATGGCATTTTTGTTCTGTATATTCACTAGACAGAAGCAGAGCTGGGCGTGGTGGCGCATGCCTGTAACACCAGGATTCGTGAGGCTGAGGCAAAAGGATCGCTGTGAGTTTGAGACTAGCTTGGGCTACAAAGTGAGCCTTAACTGTATAGTGAGACCCTGTCTCAAAAAGATTAAAAAAAAAAAAAGTATTCTAACTTCGAACAGTCTGGGCAATTTGGCGAGATGATGGACCAAAAATATAAGTATTTTTAAAAGCTCAGTGTAAGGGCCATGGACTCAACTCCCAGTAATCAAACACTGTAACAAAAATGAAAAACGCGGCCTTCCGCAGTTGAGCGACAAACTAGTGCGGGACCCTATCACACACGGCCTCCTCCACCTCGCTCTGCAAAGCGGCCCCCGCATCCGAAGCCTCCA